AATCTAAATAATGACTTCACCAATTCCCAATCTAAATAATGACTTCACCAATTCCCAATCTAAATAATGACTTCACCAATTGCCAATCTAAATAATGACTTCACCAATTGCCAATCTAACTAACAACTTCACCATTTGCTAATCTAAAAAATGACTTCACCAATTGCCAATCTAACTAACAACTTCGCCAATCGCCAACCTAAATAATGACTTCATCAATTGCCAATCTAACTAACAATTTCACCAATCGCCAACCTAAATAATGACTTCACCAATTGCAAATCTAAATAATGACTTCACCAATGGCAAATCTAAATAATGACTTCATCAATTGCCAATCTAAATAACGACTTCACCAATCGCCAATCTAAATAATGACTTCACCAATTGCAAATTTAAATAATGATTTCACCAATTCCCAATCTAACTTAACATATAAAACATCACATACCATTTCAACTAATATAAAACTTAAGTCTCATAATATTTTATATTGCATTAGCCTCAGATAATTGAAACCATTAATAGAAACCTGTAATCATGATAATATGGACAATATGGAGTAAAAATTACCATATAACGAATATAAACAAAGGATACAGTTGATCTATTGTATTTATGTCATATGCATGTTTATTTCTTTCCCTCTTAAAAACTGGTGTCTTGTTTTTATGTGATTTCTTATTCAATCTCTGTAAAATACAAATAAACCAACAATGGGGTCAAGTTGTAAATATAGAAGGACATGCATGAGAATGAAAAAAAAATACATGGAGTTGGTTAAATATAGAGATACAGTAACTACATTTGATTACCATGGATACCTACAGGACACAATGACAATACATATTAGAGAATGATTTAAAACATAATAGATTATTATAAAATAAAATATTGCTTTGTTACAACTTTTAAGAAAATTTGACAATGCTTTTTTGTACACATGCAAAGGAATTATGATTGCTAGGATTAACGAGCAGAATTTTCCACTGAATGTCAGTAAATTACTATTACAGTATGCTACAAATAAAAATACTTGTAGTAACCTTTATATCGGCTAAAATTAACGATATACCCACCTCTCTTTCAAAGAGTTCTATTGTGTCCATTGTCATATTAATATTTTGATGAGTATGTGAAAATGCAACCCATTCGTCTACCAATGATGAACTTTCTAACCGATGTAACATACATAATTCCTTCACTAAAAAACAATGAATTCAACAATAATAATAATTAGCTTCATTGAAACACATTGTAAATTCTAGAGCAGATGTGTATCATGCCACTATGCCACATCAATACCAATTTTCAATTTTGCAAATTTTTGTTCAAAGAATAAGAGGCATAAATTGTACCCCATTTTTGCTAATATACAATTTCAACAAAATTAAGGAGTAGTGTTAGAACTGATGATATTGTTATTGCTGTGAACAGTTTCATACTTTTTTGAATGACCCATGACACACAGTGCCATATTGAATGAGAAGTTGATTGGAATTGAGATAGTGTGCATGTCACATTATGGGGAGTTCATTATTGCCATGATATACCATCAGCTGTGTTACAGCCATTCTGAGAATTATTCACACAGTCAGTTACCAAGATAGTTCACAAATTTGCAAAACACTTCAGGCTTACTTGGTTCTAGGCTTGACGATGTCACTTAACCAATGCATGCTGTGTATGATTCACTACTTCATAGGGTGATCAACACTATTATTTACAAACATAATTAGAAGTAGCAAGGCTGCAAATTGGCAAAATAAAGTAACGATGGTAGCAAACAATGAGCAGAGTGAAATAAATAACCAATTAACTATTTTTAGCAAAAAAATCTTTTACAACACATGATATATTTCAAATTAAATACTTGTACAGATATTTCATTTGCTTAACAATCTGCATGGGTAATTATATATTTCAATATCAGCATTTCAGATTGTCATCAACTGTTTGTTATCCCCAGGCTTATAGCATGTGCTTTATTTACACTATCAGTCATGATATATGTATGGCCAACTAAATTGTCAATTGTATCCCAGTTTGTACAAAACTACACAGTAGTGAGTAACAACTTGAAAGTGAAGTATTTTTATCTTTTGTATTACAAGAATCTATAACAATTTTCACTTTATTCCCAACAAGAATTTTAACCAATATGTTGCAATATTACCAATTTTTTTATATAGTAATGTGTTAGCATTTGAAACCGATGCTCAAAACATTGTGGATATAATATAAACAACCTAAAGAACATTACAAAACTTCACTGATAATCTAGCAGCATTTGACACAGTTATCTTTTGGAGCAAAGTGAAAATGATGGTAACACAATGAGAATAAAGCACTATTATGAATGTTCAATAAGTGTTTTTTTGAAACTACTACTTTGGTTAATTTATGAATGTAATGCTCAGTCACTGAAAGTCCAAATAAATCTATTTACTATTTTTATTAATTTTTATTACTATAATGATACTAAAGTTACGCAAAAAAGTATCAATTAAGGGTAGTGAATACCATCATTGATTGGCTGCAAGTCAGCTGATTGGGTCACAAGACCATTTTTGGTTGTGTCAACTCTCTCAACTATCAGCACAATGTTCCCTAATTATTACTGTGTGGTTTAGAGTGGAGACGGTTGGCGGGTTGACTTTTATTTTTCGCGTGTCAACCTTTTCACTTTGGCACGTAGATGTTTTGACTTGACAACTTGTCTGACAGCGAGCAAAAAGAATGGGTGACGCGCACCGTCGGCGGCACCTTTTTTTATGACGTTTTGAACGCTTGGTCAACTTGAGCAGTAACAGAAGGAAGACGTAAGCGGGGACGACTCAAGAACACTGACGGAGCTGAGGATCTTCCAGCACACCCGGGAAACTATACAGAAGCTATCCCAGGACAGGCAGGAGGGGAAGACCTCTGTTGCTACGCTACATACCAAGTCGGCATTTGGGCACGAGTAAAGCCACACCGACTTAATTTTATGGATGACATCCGCACGCGCATTAAGTTTTCGCCTGTTCTCAAAAAAAAAAAACGAGTCTCCACAGATTGGTTTTCTGTCCAGAACTTGCTGACTCATATTGTCGCAAAGCGCCGGCTTGTCGTAAAACTCGTTTTGTACTACCTCAAAACATGCCAATTTTGTCGTAAATTGACCTTCTGCACATGTGTATTGCGTTGCCGGGAATTCCAACATGGCGAGCACGCCACCAAAATACGTGAGCATAAAAGTTCAGGAAAAAAACGGAGGGATTGTTGTAGACTGGTACGCAATTGACGTCAGCCAGGGAGATGCAACGTTTACACAGCTATACAAGAGATTGGTAGCGGCAAGCGAGTTTCGCCCAGACAACTTTAAGGACATATTATCCAGAGTGGCTGTCCCGTGTTTCTTCTGCAATGATGAGAGAAATGGGAGAGAAGTGGAGGCGTATGGTGGCCTAAAAGTCAGTCAGGCGACAAGTCAGTTTGATTGCTTTGTCCGCATTGAAGTCAACAAAACTGCAACGAAAGCAGAGAAAGCTCTTCGGCCGAAGTCGGCTTTTGAGATAAAGAAAAGTTTCTTATTATTTATTATTTCATTTTCTGATTTGGATAATTTGCTTGCACACACAGTCAGTAATATTTTGATCATATGACAAATTTTCATGAAAATACATGTACATAATTTTCTGCATCCAAATTTGTGTTGGTGTTTTTTTTTCAATATCGAGCCTCTTATAATTTGTTACATACCGGTAGTTGAAGTAGTTCTAGAGCATTTGTGTCTACACTTAGTCTATCTGAAGTGTCACTTTAAAAGCTGTAGTTTGAATGTCAAAGAAGTTAATTTTCGGGTTGCTGTTGACAAACTTATTGTTCATTTTTAATTCAATTTTTTTTTTTCAATACAACACAGTAAGTTTTTCTTTATTTAATGTTTATTTATTTCTTGTTGTTTTTACGATACACTGTGTTCTGTAGTTCAATTTGTAATTTTTATACCAGCTCTGTAGTCCTGTGGTTTTAGCAGCATTTTTTTTTTGGCATTTTTTTTTTTTTCGCCCTCTCGCATTAAGATTTGGGGTCTCCAGAGGATGTCATCCATAAAATTAAATCAGTGTGGCCTAAGTGAGTTGGAAAGAATGATTATTTATGTATTCAACAATTTTTACAATTTAAGGTAAAAAATGGGTCGTTGAAATGGACAATGTGTCGATTTTATGGATGAGTTTCACATAAGTATTATTACAGATTTATTTGGATTTTCAGCAATCAAGTGACTGTGGTGTAATTTTCTATAATGGAATGTCCTAAATTAATATAGAATGTAATTATATTTAGGGGCATGTTTTTTTTTAGGGAAACTGGTCTATATTGGCCCCTTGGGTTTGACCAGGCCGCACACCCCTGTCAAACTGAAAGGTAAGTGTCCTCCCCAGGATGCTATAATTCCCGATACATAATTCATTACAAATTGTTGACAATGCACCAGGCTCTCTTCCTTTCTCCACGGCCGCCAAAACAAACAGGACTGATCGTGTCATTTTAAAACAAAAAAACTTACATTTATCGACAACGTCAGGATCAGTTAGTTCGATGTCAAATGTTGCAAAGTCTTCTGAAAGATCTTCCCCTGAGACTGCTGCACACATGATGGTAAATTGTCACAATAAACACTTCATACAGATGAAAACACTTTTCCCCGCCAATTTTTAATTTGCAATAGATGCTCACTGTGCGCATGCGTGAACAACTTCCCGGGTCGAATTAATGGCAAAAGTTCGCCGATAAGGGGCGTTTTTATCAGGCTAAATCTTTTAGGTGTTATCAGAGCTACTGGTACAATATTCCTGTCCGTGTGGTAGTGGGTTGATTGAAATAATGGAACGTTGTTTTTAATCTTTTTTCAAATCCTTATCAACGTTTCGCTGGTAGACTTATCATGGCAGCGGTGGTTGTCGCAAAGCACAAGAGAACCACTCTAGAAAGAGTGAGCAAGTTCATATCATCTGAATACTTCACAGATATTAACTTGCGGGGAAGGTAGGTAAATGATGTTACCAGAAATCATAGTTGAAGTTGATTGTAAATAATATTTTTGTATGTAGCCCTGTATCTGTTGTTCCGGCAAATACGCCTCCCTGTATGCAAAACCCCGTGTGATTGGATTTACATAATCTATATTAATTTATATAAATTAAAGTAGAAAAAAATAATGGTAAAATAAATTGGATTGTTTTCCATATGAATATTTGGTTTGTCAATGCATGTATGACCTTTATATTTATTTATTTATTTATAATTTAACCGAAGGCGTCCTTTCACAGTGAATGCTTACTGTATAAAATCCTATTAAAGTTGCATTTTTAGATCGTAAAATCTGTCGGCAGACTATAATGGGTTTGTGATGACAACATTTGCAAATTATCAATTCTTGAGAAAATTAAGTACAAAAAAACGTTTTATAGCATTTTTTACCATATTTTAACACTTTACCCTAACGATGCACAAATTATACCATCTATTCATCTTGAAACGAACTAAAAAAGTGATGTTTCATAGACATTTCTGTGAGCCATTGATTATGAGTTCTGGCTACAAAATCATGCACACATTCATGAAATTTAATTCATTAAATTCATTGTACTGTATATCTCCACACCCGCATAAAAAAACTATTTTTAGTATATTCCCCTTAGCAAATATTAAAGCGGGGGAGTCGTCACCTGCGCATGCGTCAGATGGCCATAGCGCATCATTGTTAACAACCAAGCGTCTAACCATGATCCTTTGCATTTCTAACATGTGTTGTTATCATTGCTTGAAACTAACTTACACAGGTGATGACCATCCCGCTTTAACACGAAAAATGCACTATTGGATTCCTCTATACCTTAGCTTTCCATAAACATACATATATTATACTGCTTGCTTATTAACGGACAGGGAATGTTCTAATCACAATTAAACTATTTGATTTTCCCATCTATTTTCTGGTTTTGTGAAAAAAAAATATATTTTAATTTCATTAATTTGAGTCATTGAGTCATTTTACTGGATTCATTAGATACAAATTTGACACAAATTTATCACTTTGTCTTCCTTCTTTTATACACATTCATTGATTCATATTATTTATTGTGCTTGGCTTCATTAGATAAACATTCATTGACAAATGTGAAACATTTACTGATTTCATTAGTTAAACCATTGATTCATATTATACACTTTGATGCAGGCTTTATCCAAATAAACACCCATTGACTCGACTTCAACACTTTGCTGCTAGAGATAGAATTCCTTACAGTGAAGCTATCAAAAACAATTTTTCCAATGAAGCTAAAGTAGGCGATTCATTTGGTCCAATGTGAGTATAATTTATGAATTATCTAATGTGGTTTTTATTATGAAATTTTATTCATGTAATAATATGTTGTAATATACAACTACAGAGATTAAAGTTGTATTATTATATAATCCAACAATATTTTCTCTTCGGCTGACTTCAGCAGATACAAGTGATTACTGCTATAGTTTTGTGTGAATCCAAAATGCAGGTTATTCTGGCCTATATCATGTGTATCTAGTGGCATCAACCTGTGAAAATATGAGATTATATATTTATCACAGGCATATTTCCACAGTTTGTGTGTTGACAGTGGAAATAAACAAAATAAACAATAAATAAACAATAAACAATGTCATCACCACGTCTACAGTCACATGTAGCACAAACATCACTGAAAGACATAGTGACATTATTGGAAGACTTCCATGGCACACAGTCAACTATGATGACAGATCTGGATTCCAAGATTACTGAAGGCTGCAACAAGATCTTAAGAAGTCTACCATCACCAGCAGATAACAATACAAGTAAAACTCATGATATTACTGTT